CCAGAAATTCAAGCCAGATTCAGAAGAGGATGTAGAATGAGGGATATCTTTGCTGATGTCAGAGGGATCTTGCTGAAAGTAGAGAATACCAGAAAGATGTTTCCCTGTGTTTTATTAACTATGCAAAGGCATTTGACTATGTGGATCACAACAAATTATGGATAACACTGCAAAGAATGTGAATTCCAGAACACTTAATTGTGCTCATGAGGAACCTGTACATAGACCAAGAGACAGTCATTCGAACAGAACAAGGGGATACTGTGTGGTTTAAAATGAGGAGAGGTGTGCATCAGGGTTGTATACTTTCACCATACTTACCTGATCTGTATACTGATCAAATAATCTCAGAAGCTGGACTATATGAAGAAGCATGTGGCATCAGGATTGGAGGAAGACTCATTAACAACCTGTGACATGCAGATGACACAACCTTCCTTGCTGAAAGTGAAGAGGACTTGAAGCACTTACTGATAAAGATCAAGGACTACAGCCTTCAATATGGATTATACTTCAACATAAAGAAAACAAAATCCTCACAACTGGACCAATAAGCAACATCATGATAAACAAAGAAAATACTGAAGTTGTCAAGGATTTCATTTTACTTGGATCCACAATCAATGCCCATGGAAGCAGCAGTCAAAAAATTAAAATAAAAAAAAAAGTCATTTGCCAGAAGAACAAATCTGTCTTGGAAGAAGTACAGCCAGAATATTCCTTAGAATCGAGGATGGCGAGACTTTGTCTCACGAGCACTGGATATACTATCAGAAGGGGACCAATCCCTGGACAGGGACATCATGCTTGGTAAAGTAGAAGGTCAATGAAAAAGAGAAAGACCCTCAATGAGATGGACTGACACAGTGGCTGCAACAATGGGCTCAAGCATAGCAATGACTGTGAGGATGGCACAGGACCAGACAGTGTTTTATTCTGTTGTACAGAGGGTAGCTATGAGTCCGAACCAACTGGACGGTACTAACAACGAGGATAACAAATGGAAGGTTCCTCTGCCACCTCAGAAGGAACACACCCATATGCTTGTGAGTAATTCGATGATACTGCAGAGGTGATCCCCATTTGCCAGCTCCAGAGGTTGGCCCTAAATAGGCCTGTTGAGTTGATTCCCAGTTCCCAAAGTCAGGGCATCAATCTCTATGTATCCCCAGGAGAGGTGGCCCTCCTACCCACCTGGATGATCTAGGGGGGAGAGGCACAGGGGTATGAGAACTACCCTGCCCATCCTGCCCCTGTTGTCCAACTGCCACTAAAGAGAAGAGGAAATAGGAACACTCAGAGCAGTGTTCTCTCAGCTCTCGTCTGTCAAATCTTGTCTCTCTCTTTCCTTTTCTCTCAACTCTCGTCTCTCACTTTCTCTTTCCCTTCCTCTGCATTCTCACCTTCTCTCTTTCTTGCTTTTTCTGTCTCATTTTGACTCTCTTTGCCCGTGTCTCTGTCTCTCTGAATCTCGGTCTCTGCCTCCTTCTCATGTCCATTCTATGTATCTTTTTTCCTGTCTTTGTTACTTGTTGTACAACTGTCTTTTTCTTGGATTCTTTTTTCTGTATCTCTGTCTCTCCCTAGCATCTCTGTAAACCCTGGCTTCTCTTTTTCTTGGTATCTATGTCTCTCTGCCAGAGAAGCTTCCATCGCTCTTGAATTCTCTCAAACTCTCTCTGTTCCTCTCCACCTCTATCTCCTCTGCCTGTCTTTGACTTTCCCATCTCTGTCTCTCCCCAGCCTCTTGGAGTCTCTCCCTGAGGAAGTGGATAGGGTGATCCCTGACCCTACTGTCAGAGCTGGGTCCCCTTGTTCTTCCCTGATTCTACCTCCTTAAAGCCCCTTTCCCCCTTGAGGCCAGATAGATGGCAAACCCAGGAGTCACAGGAAGTGTGGGAGCCACCAGCCAGGGAGACCAAAGCAGAGAAATGAGGAAGGGGCTGAGACACAGATCAAAACAGAGGCAGAGATGGAAGCTGAGGCAGGGAGGAAATGGGGAAGAAGGCAGAAAGGAAGAACCCGAGGGAGAGCCACTAAAATTCTTGTTAGAAGCAAGGTGGGATTAAATTACAGATGAGAAACAGAAGAGAGAGGAGAGGAGAGGAAGACCCAGAGAGAGCCAGACACGAGATGCAGGTCGGGCATCTCTCTGCCTCCCCCAGGTCCTCAACCTAGAACGTAAGCAGGCAGGTGGGCTGAGGAGGCCTGGCCTAGCCCCTCAGCCCAGCTCACAACTCTCCAGGCCACCAGGGAACCATTGTTTCCTTGCCTTCTCTCCTGCATTTGCCTCCATTTGCCGCTGTGTCTTCCCATCTTTCTACCTGCATTTCTGGCCCCCCCACAACTTTCTGTTCTCTGTCTCTGCCCTTTCTCTTTGCATCTTTCCTTCTATCTCTCATATATCTCTCTTCTCTCTCCATCACTCTCTATCTCCCTATGTGCCAATATGTATGTCTCTCAAGTTCTCTCTTATCTTTGTCTCTCCTTTTCTCCCTCTGTCCATCTCCATTCCTCTCACCATTTTTGTTTCTCTCTCACCTTCTCTCCATCTCTGTTGTCCCTCCCCCGCCAAACTGGGTCTGACCCCCACCCCCCAGTCCCTCCTCTTAGGGAGAGAACCAGGCCACTTAAGGCCTAGGTCAGGTCAGGGGTGGGGCCTGAGGCCCCAACCCCGGCCCCAGCTCCAGATGGACAAAATAGAGTCAAGATAGAATGAGCCTAGTGGCACAGTAGTTAAAGCACTTGGCTGCTAACCAAAAGGTCGAAGGGTAGCACTCAGAAAGATGTGGCAGTCTGCTTTGTAAAGATGACAGCCTTGGAAACCCTATGGGGCAGTTCTACTCTGTACTACAGGGTTGCTATGGGTCAGAATTGACAGGCAGCAATGAGTTACTTTGTTTTTTATGGTCTAGAGATTGTTGAGTCAGGGACTGTACAGGAACAGAGTCCATATGGAAGGAACCAGGCAAATACAGTAGGGATAGGGCCTTAGAGTTGCCTATTGTCATTAGGTGCCCTCAAGTCGATTCTCATAGTGAGTCTATGACAGAGAACTGCCCCATAGCATATTCTAGGCTGTAATTTTTATGGAAGCAGATCGCCAGGTCTTTCTCCCACTGTGCTACTGGGTGGATTGGAACCTCTGACCTTCCGGTTAGCAGCTGTGTGTTCAACTATTGCACCACCAGAACTCCTTAAAGGAGACTGAGTCTATATATAAAGGAGAAAGGGCCTGAAAAGAGCCATGAAAGGCAGCTCCAAAAGAAGAAGGGGTAGGTAGGGCCTGAGAGAGAGGAGCCTGGAGGTCAGGCCTTGAGATGCGAGGGCGTGGAGACTGCGGTGGGGGGCGGGGGCGGGGGAGCCTGGAGATTCAGGGATGAGAAAGGCCTGGAGGAGGTAGCGAGACAGCGTTTGATAGGATCAGGGTAAAACCTAGAAATACAGGAGGATGAGGCCTAAGGAAACCCTGGTGGTGTAGTGGTTAAGTGCTATGGCTGCTTACCAAAGGGTCAGCAGTTCAAATCTACCAAGTGCTCCTTGGAAACTCTATGGGGCAGTTCTACTCTGTCCTATAGCGTCACTATGAGTCAGAATCCACTTGATGGTATTAGGTTTTTTTTTTAACAGGGGCCAAAGGAAAGGAAGGACAGGGCCTTGGAGGATCCTGAGGGGGCAGGACCAAAGAAGGTGACCTGCAAACACAAGAAGGGTGGCAGCCTTGGATACTCTGGGTGTGACTGGCACCTGGGTCCCACAGAGGTGTGCATGTCTTGCGCTGGCATGCCTGAGGACTGTGGGTTTGAGACCGGGGCCCTGCCAGTGCACTGAGAGAGCTGTGTGCATGGTGCCTGCTACCCCCACCCAGCCCTCACCTGGGCCCAGGTGGCCATGCACTGCCTGGCAATGAGTCACTCAAGCCAGGAGGTGTCACAGCTCTGCCCCTACTGGAGGCTGATGGCTCCCCACTGGGGTCTTGGGAGGCTCAGGGACCCTGCATTTGCAACCCCATAGGGTGGTTTTGTACGGGAGAGATGTTTCCACTTCTTTGCAATGGTTTGGAGAATAGGGGCTTTTGTTCTCCATGAGGCCATTTGCATGGAATGCAGTTGTGTCCACTGGAGCAGTATGTGTGAAGAAAACAGTTGACTCCTCTCTGGAGGACTCTGTGCCTCCCTGTGGCATTTGTACTGAGAGGACGTTTCTGCCTCTGTGAGGAACGTGCATGGATAAGACAGGGTTTGCTACTTTCCACCTCTATGGAGCCCTTTGCAAAGAGAGGACAGCATCTGCACCTCAGTGGAGCCAACTGCATGGAGGGGACAATGTTTGCCCCACACCTGTAGGAGTTTACACAGAAGTGACAGCGTTTGGGGGTGGTACCCCCAAAACCTCTTTCCCATAACCTTTCCATTCCAAAATGAACTCATTTCTGGTTCTTTGTGGTTGCCCTTTAAAAAAAACAACTGACAATCAACACTGAGCATCGGAGAGCAGAAGTGTCTGTGTAATACGGAAGTGGAGACTGACATAGGATTTGAGGAAGCCGGGTCTCTGTGAACCCTACTTCCATCCCAGGTTCATGATGAGGCCACATGAAGGGGGATTATCTTCCCAAGTGGAGTGACTAGTATTCAGAAGGGAAGGGCTCCTTGTGAGGTCAGACTTCCCGCCTTAGGGATGGGGATGTATAAGGAGGGGTCAGGGGTGCTGGGGTATGTGGGGGCTAGGAATGCAACATGCAGAACCATACCGCCACTACCACCTCTGCAATGCTTGTCCACTCATTTCTTTTTTCAAACTCGTTCCTCTCTGTATGATTTATCACGTGGCCCCCCCACACCCCTATACATGTACCTCACATTGATTCATGTCCCCCTCCTGCTCATTCATCCCATGGACATTTACTAGAGCTCATTCTTTGTGGGAGTTCAAGTTCTATGGCTCTGCCCCTTATCTGAGGAAGGGTTTCCATGGGTGGTTCAAGGAGTGCATAAATAGGCATTTCAAAACTGGCTTTAAATACTCTTCAGAACACCACACAAAGGGGCTGGGGTGAGAGCTTGCTACATGTGAGAGTGGGGCTGGGGTGCCCTGAGAGAGAAAGAGGGGACCCATCCATCAGGGCAGCTGGGGTGCCCCACCCCCACCCTGGGACAAAGGAGCAGAGTAGAGACCCTCTCCGGAGGGTCCTGGGGCCAACTGGGAGCCAGCCCTCCCTTCGAGGTAGATCATCGGGGAGGGAACCGAGGAGGGGCTCCCACGGTGGTGGCGTTAGGCGGTCACTTCCTCAGTGATACTGCTGATAGCTGGGATAGCCTGGGGCCGGGGCACCCTCCTTGGGGGGCAGCTGGCTGGGGTCCTCCAGGAATGGGGGTGCTGGGGAAGGGAGAATCAGGTAAGGGCAAGCAGAGGAGGCTGGGCAGAGCATTTGCCACCCCTCCCTGGCCAGTGTCTGCCATATACTCACCATTGCGGAACTGCTGGGCAGTGTAGCGGGTGAGGAGAATGCCAACACCCTCGATGAGAGCCAACAGGATACCCCCCATCATTGCCGAGCCCACCATGGCCAGTGGGCCACCTGGAGGAGGGGGGCAGAGAGACAGCAATGAGGGCAGGGAGAACAGGGAGGAAGGGGCTGGGGCCAGGGGCCGGGGGGTACTCACTGCGGGCTGCCAGCACAGCACCAGTCAGCGCTCCACTGGTGATGGAGTTCCAGGGATCCTCCTTGCCCCGCAGCCGCACCAAGCCACAGTCAATCGTGGAGAATAGGCCACCCCACACTGCAAAGCTACCTGAAGGGGGACCAAGGCCTAGTGTTCCTGGGAACTCCCGAGACTCCACATCCCAGGGTCTGGGGACTTCCAAAACCTAAATGCTCTGCCCAAGAATGGAGAGAAAAGCCCAGACACAGAAGCAGATGGCAAACTCCCAGGATATACTCCCTATCTGTCTCTGTCCTGTGGCAGCTCCCATTTCAAGCTATCCACAATGGCCATCAATACTTTATACTGAGTTTAAAAATGTTTACAAGTAGATTCATCTTTTACATGGTTTTTAACAAAGCAACTTTGATCTTTGTAACCACCACACAGAGTTGGAATTCTGATCTGATTTCAGGGAGGACTAACTAAGTAAATTAATCCATTGCCATCAAGTCAATTCCGACTCATAGCAACCTTACAGGACAGAGTAGAACTGCCCCATAGGATTTCGAAGGCTGTGCATCTTTACAGCAGCAAACTGCCATCTTTCTCCCGTGGAGCCACTGGTGGGTTCAAACCACAGAACTTTCAGTTAGCTGAGCTCTTAACCACTGCACCATGAGGGAGAAAGACACGTTAGGAAAGCCAGGTAATAAAAATGATAGTTAAAATGTTGACTGATGGCTTACTGTGTGCCAGGCCCTGTTCTTGATACTGTGTGTTATTTGACTTCTAAAATTTTACATTAGTTAATATGAAAGTGCTCAGTACAGCGATCTTAACAACTTTGTATATATTCTGTAAATGTTTGATATATAAATTACAAAACTACTGAGGTGGTTACTGTTATCATCATCCCATGTTACACAAGTTCAGAGAGGTTAAGCCACTAGCCCAAGGTCACACAGCAGGGAAGAGCCAGGCCTGGATTTAAACTCCAGAACCCACACTCTCGCCCCTCTCTATTAAATTGCTGGAAAATGTTGCCACCCTCCCCCCAGGAAATTCCAGACAGAGTTGGGGCTGGAATTTGGGCCCCAACTTGAAGTCTAGACCCAAAGGGGCAACCTTCTCCCCCACCGACTTTGCCTTCGTATCTTGTGTCTCCTGAAGCCTCTCACCTCCAATCTGGGGGGCTCGAATCCTCACAGCGCTGACACTACCTCTCAACCGGTGCTGAATTCCCTGGGGGAAAGTGAGGAGGTGGGGAGTCAGGACAGGGGTGAGGCCACCAGCAAACAGGATTTCTGGCTTTTAAAAGAGGAATGGGGATGGGAGACCTGTTATGGGCATCAGGGCAGAGATGTGGAGAAGCAACCAAGAACTAGGGGGCTGGGGAACACCCCAACATGGGTGCTCTCAGAAATGGGTTGAGAAATTCTAATTCATTCATCCATTCAATAAATGATTATTGAGTACCTACTACATGCCAGGCACCATGCTGTATGCAGGGATACAGCAATGACCAAGGGAGACCTGGTCCCTGCCCTTTTAAAGCTCACATTATAGTGGGAAGTCAAATTCTAAGTAAGGATACAAACCAATAAACAAGACAGTTCCAGACAGTGATAAGCACTCTAGAGGGAACAGGATGAAGAGCGATGATAGTGGCTGAGTGGTCATGAAAGGCCTCTTCGAGGAGGGGGCATTTGTGTTTGACCTTGAGGATGAGAAGGAAAGACCTGGGCAGAGATCACGGAAAGAGCATTCCAGACTAAGGCGACAGCAAGTTCAAAGGCTGTGAGGTAGGCATGAGACTGGGGTGCTGGAGGAAAAGCAAGGAGGCCAGAGAGTGTAAAGCAGAGTGTGCAAGGAGGAGAGTGGCAGAAGATGGGCTATGGAAAGTAGGCAGTTAGACTGTGCAAGGCATGGTAAGGAGTTTGGCTTTTATTTTAAGAGTAACAGGAAGCTATTAGAGAATTATAAGCAGTAGGGACAAGGATCGGATCTCCCTTTTTAAAGGACCCTTCTGACTGATGTGTTAAGAACAGACTCTAAGCGGGTAAAGGCAGAAGCAGGGAGATGAGTGAGAAGGCTACAGCAATCATGGGGATTCACGCCAGAATGGTGGCACTAGAAGTGGTGAGAAGTTGCTGATTTGGGGATATATGTTTTGGAGGCTGAGTATGCAGGTTTTGCTGATGGATTAGATGTAGGATGGGGTGTGAGGGAAAAAGAGGAATCAAGAATGACTCCAAGGTTTTTGGCCTAAACAATTAGAAAGATGGAATTATAATTTCCTGAGATGAGGCTGACCAACGAGGTTAGGTCTGGGAAGGAATCAGGAGCTCAGTTTTGACTTGAGTTTACGATTGGTGATCCAAGTGGAAACGTCAAGTAGACAGCTGGGTATGTGGGTCTAGAGTTGAGGGGAGAGACAGGGCTAGATATACAAATTGCAGAGACTTTGGCAACTGGATAGCATTTAAAGCCCTGACATTTGATGAGATCTCCTGGGGGTGGGGGGTGTTGTCAGAGAAAGAAGACGACTGTGTTAAATTAAAAGGATTTTCTCAACTTTGGGGCTGTTCCTCCCTCTATCAATTAAACTTCTGTCACCTTCCTCTATCCATGTTTCTGACCCAGAATCTCCCTCCACATAAAATTTGTTCTGGCTTTGTACACACATCTAGGATTTGATGATGACTGTTTTAACAAGACAGCATTTCCACAGAGGAGCCCCAGTTGGGGGTAGGGGGAACAGAGGCCGTGTTTGCAGTTCCCCCAAGACCCCAGATCTGGAAGCCAGGCCCGGCACATAATAGGTGAGCAGGCATCGGAATGAATCAGTGCATGTGACTGGCAGCTACATGCAGTTTTCTGAGCAGTATCCTGTGTGGGCTGGTCAGCCAACCCCCACACCACCCAGGGAAGGCCAGGGCTTACGACGGGGGCATTGCGGAAGCCTTTGATGGCTTGGAAGACTCCGCCACCGATGACACCCATGGTGAAGGCTCCACCGCAATCATCCACAATGCGCCATGGGCTGCAAGAGGGAAGGGAAGGAAGACGTTAACTTGAGCCCTCCCCCATGCCCTGACACACGGACTCCCAAATTTTTTCTTCGCCCTACCCGCCTACTCTTCGCAGCCAACTAAGGAATCAGTCAATTGCTTTACTATTACCAAAGATTAAATGAACTGACACATGCAAAGAGTTCGCATGTTTAAATAAGCGCTATAGGAGTGCTGGCTTGCTAGTATTGCTATTAAAGCAGGATGAGTAGCACTCCTTTCTCCAACAATGGGCACATCCAGTCGAACCCAGCCCTCTTTCCCCTTTTAATCGATTTTAATCGATTGGGAAAAACCAAGAACACATGGTGGGGAGGATCCAGCACCCCCTCCTTGCCAACAATAGGCTCATCCAGGCCCCGCTCTCCATTACCTAAAGAGACCTGGGGAAAACCACGCGTGGTAACCCTGCGGATTGCTCCCTGTTGCACCACCACTTCCCGGCTGAAATGGATTCGACCAGCATGTCTCTTTTCGTTAACAAAGAGGGGCTGGGAAACACAAAGTCAGGGATAACGGGAAGTGGTTCGGCCTGTACCGCACCTCCTCCAAGCGCACAGTTGCTGCCCCTCTTAACGAAGCCCGGGTGGGAGGAACCAAGCGGGGGAGCGGAAGGAGATAAGTTTCTAAGTCTCCCGAGTCTGGGACGTGGCGCTGTGTGCCCGGTGCCTCCCCCGCCCGCCTCCCACGGCTGGCCATGGCCCCGCAGCAACAGTCCCTATTCCTGTACCCATCGCCGTACCACGGCTCCCGAGCATACTCCTCCATGGCGCCCGCGTCCAGCCGCGAAGACAGACCCGATCCGGCCGGGCCACGCCCCCAATGTAAACGCACACAGGCGCCCGAGTTTTCCACCTATTCCAGGACAAGGGTTGGGTCGCTTCACCATACGTAAGTCCAAAGGCGCACTCTCATTGGCCACCTAGGTTGCGTCATCTGTCCACCGCAGCCTCCGAGCGTCTCTCAGTTACCTAAGGGCTTGGGGAGGAAAGGCCTTGTTCGGTGCTTTGGGAGGACAGAGTCGTGTGGTCCCGGTGACCATAGCGGCGACGAGGGAGAGGCGGCCTGTCTGACAGCCTTCCACTGCCCGCTAGACTGTATTGGTAACACCAGGGTGGGCGCATTCTTTTGGAGCTGGAGGAGGGTCTGCATGCGGCTCCCCCATTTCAGCGCTTTGGTTCCTCCCACCCGGCAGTCTTTGCGGGATGTTGGGTGATCCCATTTCTGGGGCGCGGGGAAGACGCGCTGGACCCCTTCGGCGGTGGGCGGAGCCTGGGCCTGGGAGAGGAACCCGGGACGCGAGCACTGTAGGAGGGTGGGTGAGAGTTTGGTAATATTGCCACTTACATCCTCCACCTTTTAGCGCGTAGGTTCCGCCCGCCCAGCTACTGGTGCACATGGGGAGGTGGGGGTCAGATGAGTATATGCTGGGGGGAGGCGCTTGGTTACAGGATCTGGATCCTAATCCTCATCTGATCTGATTTTTAGTCTGTCTGCCTCTAGGTCTGTCTGCTACCCGCTATGCCACTGCCCGTGGCGCTGCAGACCCGCTTGGCCAAGAGAGGCATCCTCAAACATCTGGAGCCTGGTGAGAGCTAAGAGCACATGTGCCAAGCTTAACAGGCACTTTGTGGTTGATATTGACACTTGAGCCTACTGTGAGCCAGGCAGTGGGATGAAAGGCGTTTCATTGTTAAGAATATGGATTCCTGACATCCATTCCTACCATGTGCCAAGCACTGTAGGGGGATAGATATTTTATCCTTAACAATATTGACAGCTGATGCCTGTTTTGGTTTATTGCATTCCAGGTTCCGTGGGGTAATAAGGCAGTATCTAATAGTAAGGATAGCTGACATCTACTGCAGTCTCCTGTGTGCCAAGTACAGTTGTTTACAATACTGATAGATAACACGTATTTCAGGCCTACTGTTGTGCCAGCCACTATGCTGATGATATATATCTATATTATTCACCTTATCCATAGCTGACATGAATTTTGGGCCTAAGGAGCCCTGGTGGTGCAGTGATTAAGAGCTTGGCTGCTAACCAAAAGGTCGGCAGTTCGAATTCACCAGTGGCTCCTTGGAATCCCTATAGGGCAGTTCTACTCTGCCCTGTAGGGTTGCTATGAGTCGGAATCTACTTGATGGCAATGGGTGTTTTGGGTTTAAGTGCCTGGCGGAGCCCTGGTGACGCAGTGGTTAAGTACTCGGCTTCTAACTGAAAGGTTAGTGGTTCGAACCCACCAGCTGCTCCTCGGGAGAAGGATGTGACAGTCTGCTTCCATAAAGATTTACAGCCTTGTAAACCCTATGGAGCAGTTCTATTCTGTCCTGTAGGGTCACTATGAGTTGGAATCAACTCAGTGGCAATTGGTTTGGGTTTTTTTTTTTTGGTTAAGTGCCTGGCATACGCATTACTGTTCACAGTATAAAATAAGTGATTGCAAGAATCTTATCATTTAGGCCTACTTGCTGCTGCTACTAATATTTATACGTTATTGTTAATAATACTGATAGCTGGCATTAATTTTGGGATACAATATGCTAGGAACTGAAAAATACTTCTTACTGTTCACCATATTGAAATTTACATCAATTATAGGCCTGCTCTGTGCCAGGCATAGACCTTATGGTTAATAATACTGATAATGACCATTGATATTAATTGTAAGCCTCTTGAGTACCAGGTCATGTGCTGATGACATAACATCTGATTAACAATACTAATGACTATAGCTGACATCTATTTTGGACATACTATTTGACAAGTACTATGCTGTTGCTGACATATACATTTCAATGTCAATTATATCCATAGCCGAAATCTCTTCTAGGCCTATTGAGGGCCAGGCCCTGAACTGGTAGTATACACCTTTTTTATTCTATTAACTGACATCTATTGCAGGCCTATGTGCGAGGCCCTTTGCCAACACTATACCTTGCCACTCAGAACTGAATGGATTCAGAACAATGTTTCTTTTTAATATTTTTATTGTACTTTAGATGAAGGTTTACGGAACAAATAATTGCTCATTAAACAGTTAGTACACATATTGTTTTATGACAATAGTTAACAACCCCACGACGTGTCAACATTGTCCCTTCTCAACCTTGGGTTCCCTGTTACCAGCTTTCCTGTCCCCTCCTGCCTTCTAGTCCTTGTCCCTCGACTGTTGTGCCCCATTAGTCTCGTTTTGTTTTATGGGGCTGTCTAATCTTTGGCTGAACGGTGAACCTCGGGAGTGACTTCATTACTGAGCTAAAAGGGTGTCCGGGGGCCATACTCTCGGGGTTTCTCCAGTCTGTCAGGCCAGTAAGTCTGGTCTTTTTTGTGAGTTAGAATTTTGTT